TAAAATCGAACTCTTAAAATTAAAATCCTAAAATCGAAACTCTAAAATTGAGACTCAAAATCAAAAACCTGAAATTAAAACCCTAAGGTTGAAACCCTAAAATCAAAATCCCAAGTAAAACCCGAAATCCTAAATCCTAGGTGGAATCTGAATCCCTAGACATTAGTTGAAACCTTAGATTAAACTTTGTAACCTTAAACCTACCCAAAACCCTAAAATCATATTAAATTTTCAAGGATTTGTATGAAAACCTTTTATAAAATAATTTATTCTCGAATGCCTTCTAAATATGGGGTATTTAGGAAATTTTATTTCATTATGGGTTTTTCATATAATTTTGTAATTAAAATAATAATAATAAAATAACAAATATAAAAATAAAAAATAAAAAATTAATAAAATGAGATTTTAAATGTAAATAATTGCACCTAAACTCTGCTTAAAGATTGGCAAGTCCAGATGGTCTTTTTATAATTGAAAACCTGATTCTTAAAATTCATATTTTATCATTATTTGTATATATCTCATTTTTAGATTAAGGTATACATTTATAATGCATATGTATGTTTATTGTAACTGCTGACGGTTAATATTAATTATACCATTCTTTGTCTTAGTACATAAAAAGTTTTTTAAAAAATATACTTTTAAACAAATAAAATTAAAATAGCATTCCGTAAAATATAATTTTAGTACTTCGCCTATATATTAGAGAGTCATCAATAATTCTCATTTACAAATAATGTTATTTTATTATTTGTAAAAGAATATTATGATAAATCCTATATGGAAAGATTGCTTTTGAATTCTGACTTTATGTCAGAGAATTTAAAGAAACTTCTTTAATTTAAAAATTTTCATAATATTCTTAAATAAAGCTTTTTGCTAATTTTATATCTTAAAATTGAAAGGAATTATAATAAATTTTCATATAAAAAAAATTATTTTTGTTCAAAATTATAAATAGCGCATAATTAATTAGTATCGATTTTGTTGGTGCTATAAGGATGTTAATCCTTCCCTACACATAACTGACTCTCGAACTCAATTTTGTTTTCGTAGATCAAAACTATCTTTTAAATGGAACTTTAAACCTATTCTGTTAAAAAGATAAAATTTTTGGGTGACCAATCACATCTTAAAAAAGATTAGTGATGACTCTCCATGTTTTTCATGATTTTAAATTTTTACGTCTAGTGATCAAGTCTCCGGACAGATACATTATAACAAATACGTTTTGACAATTTCATTAAAAAACAAGTGTTCATTATCTTCCCAATACATTTTATGTAGGTGGACAAGAGATGTTAAGAAAAATGCCACTCCAAAAATCTGACAAAATATGCTTGTTGACAAGATCAATGAATCATCTAACTCTGAGGTTCAATAGTGTTATGTTACACTCTCTTGGACTTTCTGAAAAGTAATAAGATCAAGTAAGCATTATAATTATGCAATTCAATGTATCAAAAACTTGTGTGAAGAACTCAATAATTTGATCAATTGAGAATGCTGAAGTTGATGAATTTGGGATGTCAAATTTTATTACAAATTTTGTAGCTTCTCAAAGCAATAATGGTAATGTTTCATGTGCTAGAATGACTTTACAAGATATTTTATATGTTACTACCAAAGGACATCTTCCTTTGATAAGAAAAAAGGGTAGCATTAAGAAAAATGGTAAAAAGAGAAAGACATGTTCATCTTGTAATCACAACGGTTATACAAAGCGTACTTGTGGTATGCATTAACACCTAAAGTAAATAATCAAACTAAGCCCATTTTTTTATTTTGTTCTATCTTTCTTAATTATAAAAGTAGCATTTTTTATTTATGTGGTTTTATGAATATTGCAGTAATGAGTTCAGTTCAATATCAACTTTTAGCACTATTAATGTGACTAAACTTTAATATTACGTTGATCTTTCGTTTATTTTATATTCTTTCATGATGTGCTTTGACTATTTGAGTGGTATTTTATTTTGCGTTATGTAGGATATGTTACTAGATATACTTCCATAAAAGGATGAAATTGGATCTCAAGTCGCCATGTTCGAGAAGAATTACTATACTTTCTGTAAATGGCAACAACTTTTTTATTTTTTTGTTTTTTGCCAACATGAAAAAACAATTAAATAAAAGGTGGTTTTTTGAGAAATTATAATGATTGAAGCTTAAGTACTATATTATTTATTTGATTAATTAAAATATTTTTATTTATTTAATTTAACTTTGAGAAAAAAAAACCTTCTCTAGAGGTCTTCCCCAAGCAGGGGCTTCATAAGCTATAACTGCATCAGTGGTGATAATAGCTAAAGGGTTACCACCATGATCTAATGCATGCTCTAGTTCAACTATTAATTGGTAACCAGTAAACCAAATGATGAAGCTCTTCACATAAACCACGGCATAAAACTAGTTAACCAAGACATAGATAGCACCACCTCTATTCGCACCCATTTTTGATTTAATGGTTTTAAGGATTTAAGCATAAGTTAGGAAAAGTAAATTCAAAATTAACAAACAATTAGGAAACATTTGTTCAATAAATTAGGATTAAATTAGAAAACATTTCAAAACATGATAGACAATATGCAAAGTTCAAAACACATCTAAGCTGCATTCCATACACCCTGATTATGGCTAGAAACAGAGTTACAGCCATAAACTTATAACCATTTACATCAAGGTTTTTTAGTTACAGCCACTAAATAAAGCTGTCCTTAAGCCTCTATTGTCTGAAACAACTTTTCAGCTTCTGTTATGGTGCTACGAGCATCTTTGAATTTTGAGCCTTCCTTCTCGTTTGCTTTCTCCAATTAAACATGAAATTAAATATGTAATTCGTCAAATTTCATTTAATTAACTAATCTTCAATCATATATATAAAGTTATCTGGATAGGAAATCCAAAAATAACCAAATATAACTAGTAAAGATTATAATCCAAATGCCTTAACCATATACGCTAAAACACTGGTGATAGTAGAACTCTTCCATTTCTTTTCCAAGTTAGTCCAAAGGATTGCCATGTACACTAAAACACAAGTGACAGTAGAACTTTTCCATTTCTTTTCCAAGTTAGTCTAAAGGATTGGAAGTCAGTTATCAACCAATGAGAGCAGCTAGAGCTCCTTTCTAGCACCTAAAAGATATCTGCAAATTCGGCTATCAGCAGTGTACACATGGAGCACCTTTCTCAACTACATTCATGATATGTCTATTATCACAAGAGCATGTGTTTGGAAGAGACCTCCAGAATAAGAATAACATGCAAAAACCTAGACCAGGATTGAACAATAACACAATTATAATCACCAAGTAATTTGTATTTGCAACCGGTAAATGACAGAAATTCAATAATCAATATAGATGTTTTATAAGTGATTTGTCAAAAACATCTTGCTCATGACTCAATTTTCCAGTTATACCATGAAGACAAAATTTTGAATGCACTCTCCTACCCATCCATGTATATGGAAACCTTCCTACGATAAATACCTTAAAGGAAGAACTGCTTAGTGAACAAAAAGAGTGTATGTTGTTTCCCTTTCAGCAGCAAGCCTTTAAGCCTTCTGAAACTCTTTCAAAATTGCTTGAAAATCTTTTGCAAGTTTAGCATCTGTTATCTTCTTGCTGGCCAACAATTACAAGGAGTTAAAGGGCATCAAGCACATCCTGAAGGGAGAGAGAGATGAGGGATTAAGTGGTTTTAGCAATAAGTTCAATAACCTATTTAAGAATTACCATGATTTTGAATAGAACAAAAAAAAAATTTATGAATGGCAAACACCACAGTTATCATCTCCTCTTTGTTGATTTAAAAAGTAAAGCAAAAGGTTGCTTGGTAGACATAATCAACCAAAAGCCGAAAACCAAACATACGCTAACATTAGCACAATGATCTGTTTCACTAGCTTGTTTAAGTTTAGTCGAAATGTCCTTCACTAATTGCCCAATATGTAGCCTTGTTTTATGCTTGCCAAATGAGAAATGTTAGCTATACCGCCCACTCATGATCTTATTAGCATATAGTCAAAATCACTCAAGAGAATCGAAAGAAAGCAACTAATTGCCCATGCAATACAAGGATGTAGACTGCTAAGTGCCAACATTAAATGTCGAGATAAATATAAACTATTTCGAGAATCGTCACATTCATCCAAACGAAAATGATTAAGCTTTCTCCAAAAGGCAAGTCAAATTGAACTTGACCAATGGTATCATTTATCATCCCTTATTGAAACTCCTAAATAAAAGATCAAAGCTAAAATCAACGCAATTGAACAAAACTAATCCAAAATTTTGTGTGTTTTGATTCAAAATCAAAAGACAGTCAAATTGAAATCACGCAATCAGTTACAATTGCAATTGAAGCAATTGCATTTAGCAAAACTCATAGCTTTTCTCGTGTCCTTAGGAGTCCCAAGGGTATTGACGAGTTGCTAGAAGGCGGAGACGGCGGTGTTAATCTGGAAATGCCAGAAGCCGCTGCTTGGGTGGTGTATTGCTTGCCGTTGATCAGGTTTTGCCTCGACGCCAATTGCCTTCCAGCTTCCAGATCTTGAAAGCTCATGATTGCTCCTTCTCTATATATGTCTTTGTTATAAACCCTAACTTTCTCGAGAAAACTTGAGATGGAAGGTTGAGAGAGATTCTAAGTTTGGAAGAAGCCAAGATAAGAGTGGCGTAAAGAGTGACAGCAAAAGTTTTGGAATTAAACGGTAGTTAGACTAGTTAACATAGACAGCAGATAAGAAATTCTTTTTAAAAGATACGTGGTAAATAAAAAGAGCCGGTAAAGTTTTTAATTTTCACTGATAGTGGATACAATAATAATCCTACTTTTTTAGTATTTTATTTTCTAATTAACAAGCATGTCAATTTAAAAAAAAAAAATCTCAATCTTGCAAATTTTGGTCTATGTCAGCATGAAGAAAGGGAGAAACTAGAGTTTAGTTGATTGCTGTTCGTATTTTGGAAAAAGGATAAAAAAGTCCAATAAATTTCCAAGTCTTAGACCTCACTTGCAATGCGCATTTTTACAGATGGCAAAACGCAAGTTAACAAAACACCATTGCTAAAACAAAAATAAAAAGCGTAAGCCCAGACCCAAAAGTCCAGAACCAGATCCCCAAATTTTGTTTACGTTGAAATCCCTATATCGATTGGTACAATGGCACAACTGGAAGCATTAGATGAATCGAAGAAGAAGAAGCAGAAAAGAAATCACGGGTCTACCAAATTGTTTGTAATGGTGGACTACCTTTTCCTCTTCATCTTCTTCGGTTTCCTCACTTTCACTGTCTTCAAGATGCTTCATTTCTTCTGATTATTCTTCCACTTTTTCCGCCAATCAGGTCATTCTTCCTCTCATTCATTTCTTTCTTTTATTTGATACCCATTTGCCCATTTCTAATGAAAAACGTATTTGCTTTTATAGTTTTTCATGATCTTACCATGCCCATTTAATTAATTGCAACCGTTTTGCTTTTTTCTTCAGGATAATTCTTTACATGTCAGTTTGAGTTCCAAAGCTGAGACGTTTTGAGAGATCGGTTTGTTCCAGAGATTATGTTCTTTAATTATGCTGAATCAATTGGTACTACTGTGTTATCTTTCTTGCAAACACATATATATAAGTAGTTGGCCTTTTTTATTTAGAACAGAACAATTGCAAGTTCCTTGCCTGAAAGTTACTTGAGTAATAACACTTTGGGAACCAAATTATTAGAAGATTGTGTTTATTAGCTGCTTTTCTTTTTTTTTTTTATCTTTAAGTAATTATTATATCCAATTTTCTGCACATTTTCAGTCTCAGCGGGGGAATGATGAATGTAATTTTACAGTCGGTAGTCCCGGGTATAAGTTTGATGCCGTTGTTTCAGAACCGCCCAATGTTCATTCGGTTATTGTATATAGGTGTCGTTCAGGAGGCCTGAGGTTCAAAATCCACACTTGCAACTCTTTCTTCTATCCCATCTCACATTACTATCTTCTTTATACCAAAAAAAAAAAAAAAAAATGGTCCATGTAGAACATTTCTACATGCGGGAGTTGTTAGCTTTGTTGATGATGCAGGTAAGCACTCCTTTCAGCAATTTATTTGACCTAAAAGTTTGAAGCTAATTAAGTTGCTTTAATAAGAACCAACAAGTTTATCAGGTAATACAATAGTTGAAAGGAATCAAATCACCAATCTGCTCTATGTGGGACTGTGAGTGTACTTGTATTTTTCTTCTTATTGCTCCCTTTTCCTCTTTTGGCTACATTGTTATGTCAATTTTCTGTTGAAAAGACTTAAAAGAGGGTCTAATTGTTTCTTCATTTAGTCAGTGATTAGCGGCTTTGTATTCTCTTCAGCTGTCTCTTTTCATTTTCACATTGGACACATTGGACCCACTCTTAGGTGTGAAAGCATTCCGATCTAAAATTGATCAACCTTTCAATTATTGACATGGAAAAGTATGTTTTAGGGCTATGAATTTTCTTTTAATACTGTCATGTATCTTATCTCGTTGAAGTTTATGAACTGTATATTGAGTAGCATACTTTTTGGAGAATATTAATCTCTCTTCATCGCGCTCGCAGACACATTTGAATACACTGATGCTGGCCTGTTATAATACTCGTGGTCAAGGGTTTTTTTTCTTTTTATATAAAAAAAAAAAACCATAATTTAAGAATAGAACAAAAATTTATAGACGCTGGGATTCGAATTAAATATTATTTTTTAAATTTGATAGCATAAAGCAATTGAATTAAATTTATGGACATGGACAAGTTTAAATACTCCACTCCTCCTTGACATTTCCAATGACCAAATAAATTTATATTTAAGCGTGCAAGCTAGTAGCATCCGTAGGATGTGAAATGATTCAATTAAGAAAGTAGGGTAATAGGCATGGACCACAATTAATATGGAAATCGAAGTACATGATTACTTGGCAACAAATTGTTTCCAAATGGAAAATGCAAGAGAAGACTCTGGACGCAATGGAAATAACAAACTAAAACGCTCTGCATCTACACTCTTGTTTTATCCTGAGCACCGTAAAGGTTACAAATCCTAGACTCCACTAAAATGACAAACTCGAATTCATATCACATTAAATACGTGAATACGATAGACTGGAATGAATACAAGGGGCCCCTAAAGACTCCATCTAGGCAACTAATTGCCTTTCTTTTCTATTTGATTACAAGTTTCATTGACGAACATGCTCAAGGATGTGGGTGTGTTCCTGCACTGCCAGCACAAAGGTCAGGAACTGGCACCTCAAAGCCAGGGTTTGGATCAAATGTGTCATCACCACCTGGAATATGACCTGTTCCACCACTTCCGCCGCCGCTGCTGCCAGTGTATGGATTGTGGTGTTTCAAAATTGGTGGCAGGTACACTCGTCCAAGGCCTGGAATGAGCACGCTGCGGTCATGGTGAGTCAGCCACTCGGGCTGTTTCATTTGATCATCATTCTTTGGGTTTCTTGGGATGTCACGTTTTGCAACTGCTTGCCCAGCAATAGCAATCAGAATGCTGACGAGGAAAACTTGAGCAAGAAGCAAGGAACTAATTTTATAAGCCATTATCAGAGAACTATTGAGAGTTGAGAAAGAAGAGATAGGATTGGTTCTTGAATGGTGGAAAGAGGAAAGAGAATATAGGTGAGGTTTTAAGTGAGTTGGTTGATCATTTGGCGGTGAGTTAAAAGAGGGTTCCATTGTGAAAAATACCATTGAAGGAGACGTTGCAAAAACAAAAACACAAGCTACCACGCAATTATGTAGCATGCATAGGAAGGTGGGGCTAGGTGTTGCCTGGATGGGTGAGACTTTGTAGTTAGTTATGAGATTTTCTTCTCCAAGGCTATTGTAATTTGCATGCATAAGATTTCTGGTAAACAAAGCTGAAAATTTGGAGCTTGGTTTGCGCTTTTGGAAGTAAAATGTCGTTTATACTTTTACTTCTACTTCATACATTTTCAATACGGATGCTTTTTTTTTTTTTAATAGAAGAGGTCACAACTTAAAAATAAAGAAGAATTATAGGTGTTGGGATTTGATCTTCTAACCTACTGAATGCTTTTTTCTAAAATGATATACATAAATCAATTAAGTTAAATTATAAATTTAAAAAAAAAATTTATATGAAATTTTATAAGTGAAGTTCATGAAGTTTCATATTAGAAATGAGTAAATAAAAATTAAAATTGAAAATTAAAACCGATAAATTAAAAGATCTTATCACATAAATCAATCGTACAAATTTTAACAAATTTTGATATATTTATTAAATATATATTTTTAATAAAAATATTAATAAAATTTTTACTGTTGAATAAATATCGATCAAATTTAAATTATAAATAATTTTTTATATATTATTAAATTTTATTAATTTACCAGTTTAAATTTTTTATTTATTTATTTTTAATAAAAAATTTTTCTAAACTTCATGTAAATTTTATCCCTAGATTTGACTACTATAGTTTGATTATTTCCATTTCTATCACCAACAGCACTACGGCTATTTAAGTGAATATGTAATTCTAGCAGATTATCTACCCAACCTCTTCACCCACTATCATTCTTAGAACATCAAGTTGTTCCTATTCAATGCGTTTAATCCAATTGTTTTATATACCGGCAATAAAGGATTTATATCAAAGCCCAAGTGTTTAACCAATTCTACTGCTAAGAAGAATATATCCAATGCGAGTAAAAATATTGGTGTGATGGACGTTCTCTATTATGAATTTGTCACTATATAATTCACCGAAAAAGACTCGAACTGAACTTAACCTCTGGACTGCTTTGGTATTCCATTACTTCAAAATGTCATTCTAATTCTCAGCCATATTCTTTATTTTCAATTAATTTATACTAGAGATTGAAAAGTTCCAATTTTCTAAAACATTAATTTTGCCTTTTCCCTCGTGATTCAGTTCACTTGTGCAAGATTCTGAAGGCAATAAATTTAGTAGCACAGGGGTTGAAACTAGGGGACTAGAGCAAAAATTGGTCAAGGCCTGTATATAGGACAACGGAATGGTGCATCGTGCATCTCATTGACAAACGGCAGCCTTGAATTCATGTCATCTACATTTTAATAGGCTCTCCGAGAACTCTTTGGGTTGAATTTTCTTTAATTTCCCAGCGCCCAAGAAGTCTCAGGAGTTGATTATTCATATAATAAGTCAACAGTTGGTTGATCATGCAAAATTGAATGCAACCAGAGTTTGGATATTTATAGGGAGTGGAATCATATTTAGCAGAACTGTACTGATCGAGTGCAGTAACTTTAACAAAGCCTTTTTTTTCCCTAAAATCTTACTGTTCAATACCACAGATCAAATTGCTGTTCCAATGGATTTTACTCGCACAACATGAACACACTAGCCACCAATTAACAAGGACTACCTTTTCCTTGCAAAATAATACAACAAAAGCAGTCCAGTTTGGTTACTACAGAAAACAAAATTTATGGGTTTGGCCTTTCCTCGGAAAATCTTGGAAGCTGGACGAGTGAGTTCACTCGTGTGACACCTTCCAAACCTGACCAGTTTTGATCTTCACCTGCAACTGTATCAACATCTCCTTCAAACTCTGGTGCTAGTCTTCCGTAACTATCACTTTCTTCCGATGATCTAACGGTAAAATTCCTATGCAAAGACGGCTCCAACTTCTGACCATCATCAGATTCAACAGCATTACAGGAATGATTACTCTGAAGGGTTGCAGAAGAAAAGCCTTGTTCCTCAAAATCTGATTCTGAGTCCATTTTCCCATCCAAAAATAAGCAAACAACTGCACAATCATCCACCTTTGAAGTAGGGTACTTTAATTTCCATTCCCGTGCAGCTGAGTCAACCAAAATCCTGGCAGCCGATGACCGGGTAGGAGCTGAGGATACAATATCAACCACCTCTTCATTGCTCAATACATCCCAAACCTGTAATAACAAATTCAAAATTAAGAAAAAAAGTCATATTATCTTCTATTTTGCCATATCATGGCAAGCCAGCTTTTCTTGGAGGATTAAAAGCCTCCAAAAAAAGGTTATTAATATTAAATCTTCATATTTAATATCACATGGCTTTTTTCCTTTTTATTAGTGAAATTCCTCAGTTTTCCAATGTATTGGCTCTTGACCTTTAGCTACTGTACCCAATAAGGAATCTGTTATCAAAAGATATCTATTTACATAGTAACCAATCTGTGACCAATCATATATCATTACAGCAGATGATCGGACGTTTTATAGCAAAACCGACAGAGAAGGAAACAAACAGAACTAATCTTCCATACCATATTGACATTTAGAACAAGAACTGGAGAAGTGAAAAGGGAAAAAGAAAAAGATATTAATCTGTTATAAGGATCATTATCAACCACTTACCCTCAATCTTAATGTTGATGTTACTATCTCATTAAGTTCCAAGTGCAGGAGCACTCCTAATAAACCATGTATTAAGTTCCTAGGTTACAGTTTTAAACCTAAATAGAGCCCATGGAGAATGATAACACCAAACTTTTACCATTAAGTGGATCTTTCCAAGAATTCTATTCCATGTCTTCCACTTTTACTCCATTAAAGTTTGATGATAAAAAGATTCATGACAAAGTTCTTATTACCCCAACTATTTCCTCGTATTACATCTCTTCAAGAATATCCAGTTCATATGCCATTGCCCTTCTTTGGGCTTAAGGCATAGTAAAATTGAAGGTCTAGATTAAAGGATAGTCTTACTATTTAAAAAACAATATCAGCAATGACCCACACTTGTTACCCACCATCAAAAACTGATTCAAAAAGCCCATCAACATATTCTTTCTTCCCTTGAAAAATTAGAGGACCTATTAAATAATCACCATGAGCAGTGGACCAAGCAACTGAAAAAGAAACTGATTGGCTCCTTTAGGTTGATTTTATAATACTTCTTTCCTACAGTAGTTGCCTGTGGATGGTAAAAGTTTTGTATTTATCTGTTACTCTACCGTTTTATGTGTTGCAGCATTTAGAAATTCTTATATAACACCCAAACCGCTTCTGAATTTCCTACAGTACTAATTGTTGTCTAAACTTGTAGTACTGTTTGTTTAAATTGTGATTCTTTAGGGAAATTCTTGTTCTTGGCAACATTTTTGTTGCATTTGAGCTTTCCTTTTTTTACTCAATAGAATTTAAGATACACCAGAGAAGGTTCTGGTCAAACTTGAATCAAAGAAATGAGCAAATAAAATTCACATATAAAGAATGAATGAAAGATCAGTGGTGAAAAAATTACCCCATCTGAGGCAAGAACAATAAATTTATCTCTCTCTGTAAGGGGCCGGTGGGAAAATTCAGGTATAGAGATAACACCATATTCCTTCAAACAAAAATCCCCAAAAGCTCGAGCCATTGCTAGGCCAGGAGCATCATCAAATGGCAACCACACTCTAGGTACTTCAGGTTCATCTTGCAATGCAAACACCCTACCTTTGCACCTTTTAATCCTTTCAGCTTCCCCTGGAGCATTTAAATTTAGCATTTAGTATATTACATCCATTTAAGCATGCCTACAAGGGGAAAAAAAAATTTTTGGTCTGAGTTGTACTTGGTAAATCAGGCTTCAGATCAACTGTCAATTGTATTGCCACCATTGAATCGTCGCTGTCCTTAGATCCCATAATTGCTCGAGAATCGCCAATATACCCCACAAAAAGATTGGAGCCCTAAATAATAAAATCAACCCACATGAATTAGACAAAAGCTAGAGAAATAGAAATTGAAGATGAAGAGCGGCAACCATTGCTTCTTTCATACCTGTTTCACTATAGTAACAGCAGTGCTACCACTACAGAAACAGTCCAAATTAGGATGGGAACCTCAACTCTTTATCCCATGGCCTGTATGACTTCATGAATGCTTCCTCCATAAAGAATTTAATGTACCCTCAGCATAGCATCCTTCTCAGAATCTCCCAACATCTGATTTATTTGAATCGCCCCTTGAAACATGTTCTGCCTACCATTTTGCCTTGACTGATAAGTATCCATGGAGGACAGCAACTTAAAGGGCAGGGAATTCTCACCTTACGAGCAACAAGATGACCATGAGGACCATGTCCATCAAAGACCCCACAGAAGGTCACATCTTCTGACATGAAATCCTACAGGAATTGTAGTTTTATCAATGACATCGAGCACTTAAAATATAAACGAACCTCAGAATCAAAGGATCTCAAATTCAAAGTAACGTCTAAAACTTACTTCCCATACAATCATGGCATCCTGGTTTATTCCCTTGCGACACCTGCTGAGTGAAATATGCAAGATGTTCGCTCTTTCATTTGTGAAAATCCCTGTTTGGTAACTGAGTGTAAATGCTGCAGTGCAATAACATGATCTGAGAATGTTCTCTTCTGCCCACAGAATCCAATTTCAAAGCACGTAGGAGAAAACCCCTCCCCATGGCTCCTGGTACTGGAAGTACTCCGACTACGAGTGGAGACACAGCAACCCATTTCCTCAGCTCCAGGAAGAAGACATTTGATGATGCTAAAAGGACTAGGTTCCTCCTCCAGCCAGTACCGATCTCATGTGAAATTATATGCAGTTTCTGGAATGGTCAACCAAACCAAAGACTATCACACCAAAGATTCCGGCACATCAGACCTCGGGCCACTTTACACCTCAAATGTATCGTTTAGGAATCTTTAAAACTTGGTCAAATATAATTCATTGAGGGTTCCTTAGATGGATAACAAAACCAGCTGAATAAAAGAAGAAGATATTAGTTAATTGATTTGTTTATTCCATGGTTCCAGAAATAGCTGCATGTAAAAAAAAAATCAATAAAATGCATATAAAACTCTTCCATGTGACATCGGAATAGAATATACTTAAAGTCTGTCCTAATAGTTTGTTATTGATAAGAAACACATTGATACAATTCAGATGGTGAGACCTTTTGCAAATTTATCTACAAACTATTATAGAAAAAGGAAAGGCA